ATAGTCTAGTCTATAGTCTAGTCTAGTCTAGTCTATAGTCTAGTCTATAGTCTAGTCTATGGTCTAGTCTATAGTCTAGTCTATAGTCTAGTCTATAGTCTAGTCTATAGTCTAGTCTATAGTCTAGTCTATAGTCTAGTCTATAGTCTAGTCTAGTCTAGTCTATAGTCTAGTCTATAGTCTAGTCTATAGTCTAGTATATAGTCTAGTCTATAGTCTATAGTCTAGTCTATAGTCTATAGTCTAGTCTATAGTCTAGTCTATAGTCTAGTATATAGTCTAGTCTATAGTCTAGTCTATAGTCTAGTCTATAGTCTAGTCTATAGTCTAGTCTATAGTTTAGTCTATAGTCTAGTCTGTAGTCTAGCCTATAGTCTAGTTTTTAGTCAGTCCAGTTACCGCGAACTGCAGGGATATTTTTAAGAGGCATCCTAAATAATGCGTATGCATGAATATTAGAAAAGTATGTATGTATGTTTATGTTAACTTGTAGATGTTGCCTTGAATTTACACTTGCAACATTAACGAAGCAATAAAGAGAAGAAAAGCAAAATCAACAACAAGAACAACGTACATAACGCACATAATTAAATGATAACAGCAACGACAATAACAAAAAGATGGCGATGACAACAACAACAAAAGTGATAAACATTTAGTAAATGTTTATAATTAGCAAGGCAAAAAAAGAGTAATTATCTACTGTTTCATACATCATGTATTTCGAACACATTTTCACATTAAAAATGTATACATACGTATGTATGTATTTATTTATTAAGCAGATTTAAAGATGCGTTGTGCTAAATATAAAAATAAAGAGACAAAAACACAGACATAAACCCAAACACAAACTCAAACACCAACAGTAACACTCAAACACATAAAAATCAATGTAATGTAAATAAATTTTGTATGTTTATATGCATATGTATACGTATGTATATTGTACATGTTATATACAAATTATATTCATATACAAATGTATACATATACATATGTATGTTTACATGTATGTGTATATTGTAATATCAATTTTCTAAAATAAATAACAAAAATATCAAACAATTTTATTATTTTTTTTTTTTTTGGCCAAACAGAAACAAAAATACAAATTAATGTTTGTCATTTTCTTGTTTATTTTTTTAACATTTATCTGTTGATTTATTTGTCTACTCACTGATTTTCATTTTAAACATACAATTTTGTGCTGCTGCAGTCAGTGTCGTCAGGCTCTGTCAGACAGACTTTATCTAGTAATTGTTGGTTCCGTTTCCGTTCTTGTTAATCATGTTGTTTAGTGTTTTGATTTCAATCGTAGTATAGTTTTGGGCAAAATATTTATAATCAGATTTACATATAAATATTTAGATGTAGAAAACTACATTTGCTAAATGGTTTATACTAATTTATTAAGTTTGTATTTGACAAATAAATATTTAAAATACTAATTACTATTACTAACATATTTTATGTAATTGGTAATAAACTAATCAAATAAATTTAAATCCTGGATTATTTATTTGGTATTATTTGAGATAATTCTTGATTGTTGCTAATTGTTATGATTTATTTATTATATTCATGCTGACAATAAGACTAGTAAAAATTCATATATTTATGTAGATAAAAAGGTTACATAAAACTTTTTCAGCATAAGCTACTTAAATTCAATGAGTTCATTGTAGTTGTTATATAACATTAGATTTGTTCTATTCATTATAACGAAAACTGTTGGTCCTGGAATGTTTATAAAAATGGTGAAAATTTGTATGAACCTAAAAAATAAGCAAACTCTCTTTGTCCATTCGAAATTTTGACTTTCAGTCAGCGGGCCCAAATGTTTGGTCAATTAATTTTCAAAGTGAATACAGTGAACCTTTATTGAAAATAATATTTGGTTTGAATGTTCAGTTTATTGAAGTTTGAGGTCATCGGTCATTCATTTAGCACTTTTAAGAAACGATTTGTAACATAAAGTAATATTGTATTAACCTTGCTGACACTGCTTATCGATGTCAATTGGATGCCTTGGTGATGACACATATTTCTTCATGTAGGGTTATAAAAGACCAAAAAAAAAAAACGAGTGTCTCTCAGTTTCGCCCAAAGTCATGCTCTTTTTTATGGGACCTCAAGAGATTTGGGGCCTTGGTCTCATTTTTGTAAAAAGTCATAATTTTCTCAGGCTCATATCTTGCAGACCGTTTGGCATTTTGATTTACTCTCATAGAGGACAAAAATAAAAAAACTTCAATTCAAGATCAAAATTGCAAAAAAATTTAAAAATCGTTTTTCTTTTTTATTTCAAGTTCTTTTATAAATTAGGCGTATACATAATATTTGTAATATCAATAAATCATTATCACGTATACGTTCAAGTGTCGTTAATAAAATCAGTGCAATTTCACAATGTAAAACTTTCCACTTCAAATAAAAACATGAATGTTCACAATGTTTTTTATAACAAGAGCTACAACTTTGCCTCAGAGAGTAAATTGAAATTCCGAACGGTTTGCAAGATATGAGCCTGAGAAAATTATATTTTGCATGACACCATTTAGCTCCTTAGCTGCTACATGGCACACAACCATGGCGACAAACCACTTAACAGAATGGTTAGAAAGTTTATGCACTAGGCGAATATGCGTCACGTTCCGGCTATTATTGGCGCTGGCGCAAATGCTCACCATAGCTCCCTGGGTAGCTCAGATATAAACATCAGAGGTGAGCGTTTATTTGACTTTCTATGTATTAGAATATAATATGTCAGCTGTAAATAGAGGTTCAGAACCACTTTTATTGTGGCAAACAGTAAGTTTTGGAAGTTTTGGAAGTTTTGGATATTACGGCTTTTAGTACTATTTATATAGAACTGATCAAATATTGGAATGCCTCCAAAGACTGCTCCTTCTATGATCAATGCTACCTGGACTATAGTGGTGCAGAAATCTTTTCTGAATAGAAGGAAAACAAACTAGGAGATGCATAAAACTTGTCTCAGCACCATCTTTCCTGCTGCTCCGCAACTAAAGAACAGGAGTGATAAAGTCTTAGCTGCAAACTGGATTGCAAGTTATCTAAGTATTGCTACGAAGAGAGCCTGCAAACCATCAAAAGGACTAAATAAGGACAAACCTCCATGGTGGAATCCTGATATAGCGAGCATAAGAATCTTTTCGATCTTTTAACGAGACTAAGAGATTAAGAAACTGGTCCCTTTACAAGTTGAATGTTAATAAATTTAAAAACCTAGTTCGGAATGCAAAACGGAACTCGTGGCGGACCTTCTGTAGTAATATTGAATACTCTTCCGAATTGGGTCGTCTTCGTAAAATTCAGTTAAAGTCACCTTTTGTTCCTAGCTACATACAGAAAGTGGATGGTAGCTGGACTCTTCAGATACTTTCCTGGTTGTATCTCAATAGAAGATTCAACTAATTCCTCTCTAAATTCAATACGTACGGTAGCAAGTGTACCTATTGACGATACTTTGACGATCTGTCGAATATTCCATTGTCGATTTGTCGAATATTCCATTGAAACGCCTTACTGTGTTCATTAATTTATCAGATTGTGGGTGGGTTTCTTAACCTTGCAGTGCAATCCTGCCTGTTTCTTGACTTTGCTTATTCTTTCTCTATATTCTGTATATTCTACTCCTTTTAATTTTTTTCTTCTTCTTACAGGTATTTTTACAAAGAAATCAACATGGACCCAAGTAAAGCTGGATTTGGCTACCTGTGATAACCTAACCTTGCATGACAATGACACCATATATGGTTATATTTCCATAATCCAGCATATTTATACGGTCGAAAATTTATATCGTTGAAATTACAAATTTTTAAAACTAAATGCGCCACATATCCCTACAATATACACACCATCTTACTGTTTAGAGTAGTTTACAAAACTTATTTCCATAGCTAACTCTCTACAATAAGTTAGTTAGTTATTGACATATCGGAAGTGGTAAATTACAATGGCCCTTGTAAACTGAATGCATATAAGAAAAGATTCCCATAGCCCCTGCATTTAAGACTATATTATGAAATTTGACTTTATTCATAGAAATATAATCAGGATGTCTTCTTGACAAATCTTTAATTTAAAGTCTTATCGAGATAACTCCTTGTGTGTGTATTTCACTTCTTCAGATAAAATAGTGAATTGCTCAAGGTTTTCTCGGTAAGCCTGCATTATGTCATTTCACTATAAAGATTTGTTTTTGACGTCCTACCAAAAATCTTCTCTAAAATATATTTTGCATATTGAGAATAATTCTGATGAAATTTTTACCATTTCGAGACTCTATTTAAAAAGTGCTAAATCACTATATAAATAAGTTCATTATATAAATAACTCACTATGTAATAAAGTGTCTCGATATATAACTACAATTGGTTAAAGCAAAATATGTTAATTAAAATATTACTATTTTACATAAATTAATTAATTTGTTTAAGCCTAATACTTACTTTTAAGATGTTTGGCTACTTCAATTTCTTGACCTATTTTTCAAAAACAAGTTTTATTTATATTACAACCAACAACACAATTTGTTAAAGTTTTATAACAACAACAAATTCATTAAAAAAAGAATTCAAAAATATTCTTGCAATACATCATGTTAATAATAATTTGATTTTTTTTTCCTATCGCAAAAATTTCTCCAGCAATAGTGTTAGTAAAAGTTTTAAACAGGATATTAAAAAAAAATTCCCATTGCCAAAACTGAAAAGCCAAACTCTGCGGGTGTTAGTTATGAATATTTTATCGCTGTAGTTGTTTTTGTTTAGTAAGTGTTAGATATGAACAATTAAAACTAATATAAGTAAATTCATTACAAATAAAGTTTTTACAAAGTTCAAGATTAATATCGTCCAACTTTGGGAGCATACACAGTTGAAGGGGACAAACTATACGAAGCAACAATTATTAGCTAGCAAGTTAGTGTGTTATAGAGAAGAAGTTTGCAAAACTTTTGTTGCACTTACAAGATTACCGGTTCCGGAAATTTCCATCATTCCGGCTATTTCCCTTTGTAATGCATCGTATTGTGAACTGGGAGAAGTTGAGCGAGATGTCTTCTTACGAGGTGGTTTTATAGGCATTTGCTCAACATCCATTTGCTTGGGTTCCGGCTCAGTTTTGGTGTCACCATTTATATCCGTTTGTATTTCACCTTTACAAATCAAAGGTGGCGTATTGGTTGACATTGATTGGGTGCGACGTAATTTAGGTTGTTCGGCAACATCATCGGTGGTATCACTTTCAATGGTAACAGTTGTAGTTGTAATTGAAGGTACAGCTGAAAATGTTGTCACACCACCGGGTTCTGTGTAAACGTGTTCGTACACATGACTAGGTACTTCTCTGGTGGCCACCTCTTCCGGTTTGACAACATTCGATCTTCGTTTAATGGATCTGGATCGTAGATTCTGAACAGCTGTAGCAATTATTCCTCCCGATGGCTCTTGGTAGAAGTGAACACGTGTCATAGGTTCAGATGTTGGGGTAGCTGGTGTTGCTGGCGTTACACCCATACTTGTTCCAGCACTCGAAAGTCCTGCTGCAGCCTTTTCAGACGATAAAGCAGCATGAAATTCTCGTTCTATTATTTCCTACATTTTTGTACAGTTACTTGGTACACCAAATATAATATTGTCTTGATGATATATATATATTTTTTTGGCATTGTATTTGAGTTTTTGTCTATGAAGTAGTATGTTGGAGGGAAAATGTTTGTTCGTTTGTTAGAAAATGTATGCATCAACATGGAAACATGAGAGTAGTTGTTAATAGTTAGTTGTTCTCTTTTCTTTTTGACTATACACACATACTTAATTAAAAATATTCTTGGCTAATTTTGAATGCATTAGTTGATGCACACAGCAGAACATGGTTATGACAAACTATACGAGAAAGATTCTGTTTATTGAAATGTCTTAGTAACGCATTGTGTTAAAGTTCGTTTTAGTTATACTCGAATGCATGTTATTTTTAATACATTCTACTTGCTGTAAAATTGTAACAATTTTTACCTAAATAGCTCTAAGATTCCATATTTTTTTTGAAAATATTCAGCAAAAGTTTTGTTTTATAAAACTGACCATCATGTTACTAAAATTGAAAAATTTTAATTTGTATACGAGTATTTAATACAGAGTAATTTATTTCCCAACAATTTCCAGTCACTTTTGATAACTTCACCTTACTTATGTTCTCTTCTCATATAACAACTTGTACGGGACATAAAGATACATATTTGATAAGTAAACACAATTGTGACAAGTCCATTCCATGCTCAAAGTCTTAAAGTGCTTGACAACAAGATTGATGAAGGTAAGGAATAGGATATTTATATACACATTTATAGGATTTGTACAAATATTAACAAATTTTGTTATGTTGATTTAGAAAACGTTTATTTACATTTAAATGCATACTAGATTTTTACATAACTTTCTTAACAAAGTTTAAATTGGACATTTCTATATTTCGTTTTGGTTACTTTTAACATTTAATACTTTTTTCATTTCCATGCATTCCACATTTCAAATTGTTTATAATGCTTCCTTGTAGTTCGACTTACATAATTAATAATATATTAACTTTGCAGAGTCATAGACTAAAACCCTCTAAGAAATTTCTAATTCTAAAACCAGAGAATACTTTTAAAAGAATTCAGCTGTAATGAATCCGAATAAGACATTAGAATTACTCTTCACAGCTGATATCTTAGGTTATAATAATTCCAGTCGTTAAATTGAGCGAATTCACTTTTATTTTTAAAATTTTTTATATCGCAGTTAAAATATTCGCAAATTCATAGATATCACTGTGGTACTATCTTAACAAGAGCCTGAACTAGAGATGACTCAAAATCACCGTTTTATGTCTTGTAAAGATCACGAAGATGGCAAGTGTACATGGTTCCGGCCCATATACAAGCACTTCGCCCGAGTACTTGACCTATATATTCTCTGAACATTGCTGTCTATTGTGTAATATCCGAGTGCCAAAAACATACTTAATATCCGTTTACTACCAAGCAGATGGAATGGTTTCTCTCCGGTAGACTGAAATAGGAATCCAAGCCAAAGAGAACACACATAGTAAACTCTGAACATAATTTGATAAGGAGGGAAAACCCATTGGGATCACTTGTGTACGTTTCTGTCGAATCCATCACCATGCAACCTAGCGAACTTCTCATTTATCCAACACATACATTGAGAAAACAAAGAACATATACATTCTATGTATACGGTTAGGTGAGGCCTCTATACGGCCAACCAATACCCCTGGTAACAGATATGATAGGTGCTTTGGTTGGACCTCAGAACAAATCATTCCAAAGATACTTACACAGAGGGAAAAAACCGGTAGAAAAGTATCGAAATTGATACAATCCGTTGTCATAATTGTGCTTACTACGTTTGTTAATATTTAGACAACGGATGTGTATAAAATGTAAATAACTCCCAGTTATCATTTTAACAACTACTGTTGTAATTTTAACAATGCATCGTTGTCATTTCGATTACGCTTTGTGTCATTTCGGCAATGCATCGTTGTGATTTCGACAACGCAACGTTCTGTTAGACAATATAACGTTGTCACTTTGGAAACACATTATTATCTTTTGTTTGTTTTGATAACGTCGTGTATTTTTTATATTTTTGTTATTCATTTGACAACTATCCGTACATACATTGACAACGGATGTTATTGAAAAATTATAAATACTTTGGTGATAATTTGGCATGTATAATTGTAAAACATTTTTTCCCCCTGTGTATGGAACAATAAAATGTAGTTTTTGTTCCGGCAAAATAGAGGTACTGGTAGCACCTTTTTACTCCGGGATTGCAATCACACCAAGATGAGGGTAGTTTGTCATAAAAACCAAAAACTAACTGTTTATTACATAACTTATCCACCAAGTACAACAAAAATAAGTTACGATTCACCTTAAAAGTACATAGTTTCCACTTAGTTCCCACATTACATACCTTTCTAATTACCCAATAAGTACAGTTTTTTTCTGAGAGGCTGCGACAAATGAATCCAAAAAACAATTTTTTATTATTTTCGTTATCATAATGTACATATATGTATGATTAAATCATAGGTTTTCAGTTAAGCTATTACGAAGCTTTTATAGGACCTCGAATTTATTTTTTGTAATGAAGAGGCGCATGTTTATCAACTAACAAAATGGGGTTGTCTGTGGAAGTCAATGTCGAGAATCTAATGCTAATGCAGCTACAAATTATTAGAGTTTGGTTTTTGATTTAGAAGGTATGAACTTGGATAATCTTTGGTTTCTCGGTGTCAGATCTCATACTTAAACCAGCCAGTTCTCAGGTTGACAAATCCGAAAAGAAAATCATTGATTAAATAAATGGTTCCAGAACTGTTCAATAGAATTGATCTCGACTCCAAAACACTACATAGAACTAGTCCAAGGTGGCAAATTTCGAAAATAAATCATTTGTTTCAACGTCAATATAGAACAAGTACAGGTTATAATCATGTATCTAGAACTAGTTGTGAAAACGATATAGTTTTTCCTAAATAATTGGGAACATATTTTTCATAAATATCAGTGTAATCTGATAAATATAAATAAAACAAGTAGGAAAGTATAATCTGGTATGGCCGACCATATGACATCCTACACCAGTCTGTTTGTTAAAATTGTGATACCCTTAGAATTACCATTCCCTATTATTGAGAGAATGGTTTCCCTCCCTAATTTCGTTGACTACTTGGTTCGTTCGGTCTCCGTGTAAACCAGCCGTTGCTTTTAATAAAACCGATCATGTTTATTAGTGACGCATCTCTAAGACAGTCTAGATCATGGAAAAGAGCTCTACCAAGATAGAGTAGTCTGTGCTCTTGTAAGGCTGGGCAGTCATATAGAAGGTGTTGTACCGCTTCCCCTTCTTTGTCCAAGCAGCTTCTACAGTAATTATAATTTGGGTAGCCCATACGTTCCCACAGATGTCCAATCATACAGTTCCCAATAACTATACCAGTTTGAAGTCTAATCGAGTTCTTACTAAGAGACAAGAGAGTTCTAGTCTTATCTGTTGTCAGAGTGGACCAGAGCAGTCTTGATATTGTACAAGTGGTGATATTTGACCACTTGAGTTCCGTCTCACTCAAAGCGCATTCATCTATCAATTTTGATGCTGTTGCCAGGGGAGTCTGAATATCCTTTTGCGCAAAGGTTAAGTCTAGGGACGTGCGTACAATCTTTACATGGACACACGGACAGACGGACATAGCTAAATCGACTCAAATTCTAGGTTAAGTCTAGGGACGTGCGCACAATCTTTACATGGACACACGGACAGACGGACGGACGGACATAGCTAAATCGACTCAAATTCTAGGCCGATTGCTATACATTAAGGTGGGTGTAGGACCAATATTTTTGGATGTTACAAACATCAGCACAAACGCATAATACTCTCCCCACTATGGTGGTGTAGGGTATAAAAACTTAAAAATTTTGAACTCTATAAAAGTGTACCCTAATTGCATCTTCAGATCATTCTTTTTTACACATTTCCTTATCTAATGTCTAATAATTGTATCTTTCAATATTTCGAAAACGTCTCTGTTTAAAAGAGAAACGAACCTACACACATTTTATCACAATATTTCTTATTTTTTGTGTAAAGTTCCAAGAATATAAAAAAACAATTGAATTTTCTTTGTAGCCATTCGAACTAAAGAAATGTGAAAATGCGCAAAACAAGAAATAGATAAAATAGAATTTAAAGCCAATTACAGCATAAATAAATAATAATTAATAAAATATAAAAGTAAAAATTTCATAAACGAATCCTTATTCTGAGAATAACTGTAATTAGATAATTGTTGCTTTATTTTTTTAAATTGTTACCAAATTTGTATCTCATGAAAAGAGTAGTGGGTCTTAAAGAATCAGTTAGTCAGTAAAGTTTCTGGCAAACTCTTTCAAACACTTATACACACACTCACACACACAATTGCATAATGCCTTACGCACTCATTTCCTTCCGCTGTATGTGAGTATGTGAGTGTAAAATGAAAGACAGTGTGTAAAGTCGGTGTTGATATTGTATTATTCATTCTGTCATTATTATTTTTATATTTTATATATATATAATATATTATTAATATTTACATGTTTTGTATGTATGTAAGTGTGTAAATTCAATTAAATACATTTCAAATTCTAATTATTGTAATTGTAACTGTAAGCATTCTAAATAAATGTAATTAAAAGAAATTATAAACTAAACTAGTTTTTTTTAATGTTTTTTTTTTTTGTTAAATATTTATTTACATACAATTAAAAACTACTACGGAAATACGATAAATACGATTAAAACGAATACACACGTAACATTTTTCCCAATTATAAGTGACCTTAAAGTGTGTTTTTTTTTATTTTATTCATTCTTTCTTTTGTTATTTAATTATTAATTTCAAGTTTTCATTTCTTTTGTTTGTCTTATATTTTTAATGAACGGATTTGATGGTCAATATGTTTCAGAAAACAAAACATTAACAAAAGAAGTATATTTTTGAACATATAAATGGTCCTTAATCTTGAATTGAATTGAGTTGAAATCGTAAAGAAAAATAAACCAGAATATTTGTTTTAAATAAATAAATTTAAAAAAAATACAAGAAATTAAAAGGAATATAACTCTATAAATGGCATTAAATAAAATTGTTTATAAATAATAAGAAATACTTTCAAAGCGTGCGTCTACAAAGAAATCAACTAAATGATTAAACGGAAAATTCATAAGAAATCAGTTTGCAATTCAAGCGAAATTCACATGCCATTTTTTGTTTAGTTTAAGCGTTTTTGTTTTTTTTTTGGAATATCAAAAATCAAGTTTTGAATTAAATTATTTTTTATTTTAGTTTTAACTATAAATTGTTGCCTCAAACGAATTCAGTTTTTTTATTTTTAAAGTTCGAATTCTAGAGTTTTATTTAGCAGCGTTTTTTTGTTTGTTAGTGATTTAAAGTGATTTGTGACGTAAGATGTGAGAGTTGAGTTGTTGTGTGAGTGGTTGTAAGGATGTCTGACAATGTTGATTGATGGTCAGTGTGGGTGAAGTTGAAGAATTTATATTTTATTTTAAATTTGTTTTGTTAACAAAATTGTGTCTTTTGTGTGTTTAACATGAATTTGAATTTGTTTAGTTTTGTTGAGAAATTTGTTTATGTATATGTTTGTGTTGTTTTGAAAAGAGAGAAGAGGATGTGCATGATTTGATAGCTTACCAAAGGACTTGCAAGAATGACTCCAATCCTGCTTAGAACCGCTGGAAGACGCTGGAAAATTTACATAAAATATTGTTGATACTAAAACACACTTTAAGATGGGTGTTAAATCAAATATGTAAATGTATTTTGAATTTCTTTCTTTTTTATATGTCATATCTTTAGTTTGAATTTAAATTTAAAATTTATTAAATTATATTTCTCGTCATTATTTCTTGACATTAATTCAAATAATACGAGTAAAATGAAAACTAAACACTTGTCTAAATTAAATTAACAGAAAAATAAATTGCTCTTTTTGTGTTTTTTTTTTAATATTAAATTTCATGAAAATGTAATGAATGATTTGTTTAAAAATTATTTTTTATATTTTTCAAAATCAAAATGATTCTTTCTTTTTTCGTTAGTTACACAGTTCATTTTAAAAGGTAATTTTTAAGTAAATCACTGAAATTGGGAACAATGTTAATAAATAGATTTTGATTTTGTATATAGATATTTTCAGTTTTTATTTTTATATTTAATTAAACTTTTAATACGAGTACGTTTAAATCGAAAATTTCATTTAAACAACAACTAAATTAGTATTCTATATGTATATTAAATATGTTAATTATTTGATAAAAAAAAGGATTTCACAATAGAGTTTTTTTTAATTCTATTGAAGTATATCTTGTCTTTGCTCTGATTAATCTTAATATTTAGAAATGTATGTTAACATTTTACTTTTTAAACGGAAAATTTAAAAGAGTCTCCCGCATAGTGAGCCTATTTTTGAATGCTTTGACAACATATAATCTAAAACATCTTTATCGGTTCATACCATACCAGGAATAATTTTAAGGATATCACACTGAGCCAAAATCGTGTGCCAGAGTACTTAGACGCGAAAAAGCTTTACACGAGCAGCACCTTCGTGCTAAAGTGTAAAGGATAATGCTAGTTCTGCATATCCGACGCTTTTCATGTACGACCAAATATTCACTGACCCCGGTTGATAAACCTTTTAGCTGATTTATTCGCAATTAATTCTTGCTTGGAGGAATGCGATCAATTACTGCTAGAGCTCGAGAGTGTATCAAAAGCTATGCCATGTATATTCTTCCGATCGCGTGCAGTTAAAAGGGTTTTAACGGATCTCAACATAAATAAGTCTCCTGAACCAGATGACATATGCTAGCTGGTGCATTAGCTAATCATTTCAGTATTCCATACCATGCCGGCAAATTTCTCCAGTTCCTAAAAAGGGAGAGGCTAGTAATCCTGAAAATTATCGCCCAATAGCAACTTGTTCTACACTTTCCAAAGTTATGGAAAGTATGGTTAACTTCCATCTGGTCAAATATTTAGAGTCCAACAATTTACTTAACGACCACCAGTATGGCGTTTGTAGAGGTCGCCCTCTATGGAATGGTGTCATTCCATTCACCATTTTGGCGAAAGTAAAGTGGTGGCTCTAGAGTGTGGCATGGTGCACTTGTATCAAAACTAATTGCATTTGTTGTCTTTACTCGATTTATATCGAGTTTTCTCATTGATCGCACTATACAAGTTGTTATAGATGGGATCTCATCAAACGAGTTCATGATTAATGCAGGGGTACAGAAAAACTTCATTCTTTCACTTATCCTATTTCTTATCTTTATATTGCAAACTTCCAGCTCTATCTACTCTTTTGCTGATGACAGCAATATCTGCCATTCTTATTCATTAAATTATAGGCTAAGCTCTCCAGAGATTGGGGCAATGAGGCGTAATATGAATGAATCGTTCAATCACGACTTGATAATAATATCTGAATGGGGTTGTGTTAACAGAGTCGATTTTAAGGCCCACAAAACTCAATGGTATTTTGTAACACATAAATACATGACACATAATGTTGGTCCATCTATTTTAAGGAATCGGAAACTCTTAATATTCTGGGCATGAAAATACATTGCGATGTCCGCTGGACTAAAAACATTTTTCAAGTATCGAAAGAAGCATTTAAGTGTCTCGGTTTTACTTTTGAAACAGTGTAAGACATACCACACTCCATCTGATCTTTTTACTATTACACCACTTACAACCAACCGAAAATGGAACACAACTCTCATGTATGGGCTGGAGCTTCAATGTCTACTCGACTGCTTACAGGAGAGGGTGAAGGTACTTATCGGTGAAAGAAGGGTATCCAACTCTAATGGAGCACCGTCACAACGTGGGGTGTATTGCACTGTTATATCGATACTATAATATGTTCCTCTGAAATTAGGTGACTTGTTACCGATACCCGTATATTTTTACGCAACACACGACTCTCATGAAGAACACACTTATTTGTAGTCGATTGGCCAGTGAACCGCACAACACATTACAGAGAAAATTCATTATTCAGCCGTACTGTTCGTATGTGGAACAAATTTCTGAAGAAGTATTCCCCGCCACTTTCGATGTGAAAAGGTTTAAATCAAATATCCACAAATACTACTCCTTCTACCTCCATCCCACAACTTATTTCCCTTCCAGCACAATGCACTGCATGAGTAGGGGCCATCCCCTGAGTGCTGGTCCAAGTTAAAAAAATGTCCGAGTGTTGTCTCTAGTTGCAGTAAATCCCATATCTGTTGTCATATTTATGTTACATTTTTTCCCACCAGAGAAAGGAAGTTTAGGTAATTGGTTTATCAGGAGGGGCTTAAAAAGACAGCAGAAATCTTTTCCTCATATAATTTGTCTGATCACAGAGCTTTGCTGTAACAGAGCCCTAGGTGAACTCCTATCGGGTGGGAATAAAACTTTAAAAATTGCAACTGTCATTTGGCAGAAATGTCAACTAATAAAAGTGTTCTGTCGAGTTCTCCAAAAGAATCGGGTGACCCACTTACGTCTTCAAACTATCCCAGAAAGAACCTCCATATTCCCTGCTATCAGTGAGCGTTGGGCAATAGCAAAGTAGATGTTATATCGTCTCATCTTCTTCTTCGTTATGACAATTTCTGCAGTAGTCGTTATATCCAATGCCTAGTCTCCTAGCATGTGTGCCTACGAGACAGTGTCCTGTAATTACTGATACAAATGTTCTTATCTGCTATATTCCAAAGCTTATAAGCAGTCTTGATTTAAGAGCATCGCATAAACGCCAGAGATCACGAGATCTGTTAAGTTGTTTCACTTTCATAATAGATATTTCTGCCTGAAGAGCACTACAATAGTTAGGCAGTCTAAAGGATGATTTAATACCAAAGATGTTTGTTTAGTCCCAACATAGTTAAATGGATGTACACAGCTATAGTAAGTCCTATTCTTACATAATGAACTATTGTATGGTGGACTTCAACTAAGAAGAAGTTTGTTTTAGATCAGCTATACAAAGTTCAGAGTTCAGCATGCATTGGGATAACAGGTGCTCTAAGAACTAGTCCTTTAGAAGCTTTGAATACTATATTATTATGAAGAGAATACCTATATATCTGCATATAATGGCAATATCCGCCTGAGGCTTAACTCATTCATAAGTTGGAGATCAAGAACATATGACATTCTAAGATTTTAAGAGTATTACCTCAAAATCAGAATTCCTTTCAAGAGCGAGTGGTGTAGGGGTAACTTACCGAGCGAATATACCACCAGAATCTTTACAGAATCTTTACAGGTTCTAAAATGAGCTGCGGTGTTGGTTCTGGTGTCTTCTGTTAAGAAACTGGGTTGAGATATACTTACCCCAGCTTCTTCTCCGTCTTCAAAACAACTGTAGTATCTTTCAGGCTGAAATATAATGTCAGCCTGTAGTGTACTACATGACCTCAATATTCGCGTCAACATAGGCATTTTTGTCGATAGTCAAGTGGCACTTCTCTCACTAAATTCTTGTACTACAACTTTCCTATTAGTCAGACAATGCAAAGAAGGATCTGTCAAGTCTGGGCCGTGTGTCTGACATTACCTTTATTTGGGTCCCTGCGCATAAGGACTATTATGGAAATGAACAGACAGATGATCTTGCCAGAACGGGATCTGTACTTGATATCTCCAACGCATGTAAAGGGGCCAAGATATTGTGGCCCTCCTTCAATGAGAAACGCACAAAACACCTTATTAACCGTAGTAGACGGCATATATCGAGGTTGACAGCAGTAACAACAGGACACTGGGTGCTAGGCAGACATGCAAGTTGGCTTGGGCTCCCCTTCAATGAACACTGTCGCAGTTGCAAAGGCAGGAAAAAGGAAGAAACGGTCTTCCATCTTCTCTGTGAACGCCCTGCTCTAGCTGTTAAGAGAAAACGCTTTCTTAGCAGTTACTTCATATCTGAACTTGGTTTTGAGCTTAATCCTGAGATTTCTCATGGCTACAGCTTTGAGCTTTTTTTCAATTTGTTATTTCTTCATTTCTGACCCCTGTTATAAACTAAAACTAACAAAAAATTCTTTTAATTTTGACTACTTTATTATATAACACTACAATTATAACTTAATTAAGTGACTTGAAGCGAAAGCACAACTACTGCTCTAGAACACTAGCAAATTTACTATTTGGGCTATATAAGTATGAGAAGATAATTAATACATATAATACTATAATTTATAGATACTTATTTTAAAGATAATTTATTTTTCACTTATAATAGAAAAAGTTTAATGTTAACATACATTTCAGAGAATTTATATTGAAGTGTATTCTTTTATGGGTTTTTTGCTTAGTTGATCACATTTTATATACAATGGAAATACATACCTAAGTCCTCTAAACTACTGTAAGTGGACCTAAGAATTTAGACAATTTTGAAGTCAACTTGCACATTATCATAACAATATTTAAAGTACGTTTTGTTTTTTGTTTTGCAAGAAATTTTTTCAAAAATATTTAATAAAATATTACAAACAAAAAAATTCACAATAGACGGGAAACAAAAATCAAATGGATAAAATGAGAATTTATTAGACACGCACACACACACACATGAACACATTAATATAACAATTTGGATTAGATTCATTTATAACTAAATATTGTTATTGATATTGATTGATGGATTAATTGAATAATTTGGTTAATTGATGCAAAAACAATTAAAGGAATTAATTAATTATTATTATTATATTATTATCATTATTTTATGGTAGTTTATTGTTGCAGGACAAAAAGAAGTACAAACCGAAAATAGTAAAAAACAAAACATTTTCACACATACCAAAACAAACAATCAGAAATTAGAAACAAACCGAATTTAAATAAAAATTTAACTAAAAATTTTGAAAAAAAAAATAAAAACCAAATATATTTATAATAAATATTAAATAGGAGAGAGAAAGAGAAAGAACTGGTGTTGTGGTACATTTGAATTAAATTTTAAATATTTTTTATATTTATGTAAAATAGAAACACATAAATTATTGTTTGTTGGGTTTTTTGTATGTTTTTTTTATTGTTAAAATACAAAATGCTACTAATAGTTAGAAATGTTTTTTTTCATTTAAAATAATTTATCGCAAAGTGAACAGAAAATTATTAGGAATATAAATAAAAATATTGTTCTTTGTTTTGTTTTTGTTTTAAAACTATAGTAAATGAAAACTCAAAAGAATTTAAAATATATAAATAAATTTCTATTAAAAAATTTAAGAGTTAAAGAGAGAATTTTTTTATTTATAAATATGAAGAGAATATTGTTGTTGTTATTTATTATTAAATAATTGAGGATACATTAAAAAGAGAAAGAATATATAGAGAGCGTACGATATAATACTTTAAAGAGAGTGAATTTTAATCGATTGTTTGTGATCTCTAGAGAATGAACCATTTCAAAAGAAATTAAAAATTAAAAAAAAATAAAATGAATTCAAATGATAGAGAGAAAATTAAACGAAAAATGATAAAGGGAAGTAAAAGTATAATCGATTGATTGACTGTTTTATATAGAGAGAATAGAGAATACAGGGTAATCGAAAAATATAACGAGATAGAGGGGGAGAGAGAGTAAGAGAAAGATAGATAGATTGACTGATTGATTTTGTTGTTTTATGAATTGTTCGATTTTGATCCGTTTTTTGTATATTTTTGATTGGTTTTAAAATTTTGATTCTGATTAAATTGTTTTAGCAATTCAATTTATGCCACACAAAAAAAAATATGTTTTTATACATATTCCTTAAAGGGATTTCAATTTTATATTATTATATTTTTTCATTTGCTTTTATACTATGTATGTATGTATGTGTTCACCTCGATTGAATGATGGGAGTTCATAAAGTTCGTTTAAACATACATACACAGTTTATAATAAATAAATATTTAAATGGAATAAATGGACTAACTAACTGTACTTTTGATTGGTTTTTCTATCTAGAATTTTCTTTTATATTATTATTGTTGTTCGTTTGATTGTATACATTACCTGTGTAACAGGATTCTCTCCGGGTCGATAGACTACATTGTGCTGTGGCCGCTTACGTCCCATATAATTGACGCAAACAAATTCCAGTAGGGAGGCGTAAATGAAACACATGCAAACTCCATCCCATACATTCATTGCTGTAAGATTTGAGACCACTGGTAGTGTGCTGCGGAAACCGTTGGATGTTGTGAAAAAATTCAACATTGTTGTTACACCTTTTTTCCGTCCGTAATTGGTATTTTTGATTTTAAGCGTAACATGGGAAAGAAATTAAAAATCGATTAATATTATTTCCAAATGAATAAAAAAAATATGTAGTAAAAATAAAATACAATATGTTGTCTATTTTTGTTTGGTCTCAATGTTGCTGATACATTTCAGTGATAGTATTTGAATATTTGATCTTTTTTTTTGTAATATTTGTTTGAACTGTTTGAGTGTGAATTGATTGAATTTGTAGGTGAATATATGTATGGGTGTGTATTTGAGGGTATGTGCGGTTATAATAGGTGAACGCAATTGGATTCGGCAAAAGCAAAAATTATGGTATAACTATCTCTACGAAAGGTAACATGGATGTGTATACACATTTTGCCATAGATGTGGATGAAACTTAAAGTGCATATGATAAAAATACATATGTATGTATTTAAATACAATATATAAATAATGTCTTGCATACTAAAGGACATGACAGATGTATGATTATACTTAGTATATGTATACTTTACATATACATATGTATGTAAATTTCATATTTATTATACTTTTTTATTATTTCATTATACACATGATTTCTCGGAAAATTTATCGTATTTTATTTAAATTGGTTTTAGATAAGTATTAATTGTAATAATAATAATTTCAAATTTTTAAATATGCAATCTGGCGTCATTATATTCCAAACTATATAATTAGTATTTTCGATTCTAAAACTAGTTTATAACTACATATTAAGCATTTTTTATGTGTAAACAATAACAAGGTAAACAATAAAGGATTGAACAGCGCTGAATCAAAATTTGGCCCCAGAATTTCTAAAATGTTGTAGTTTATAACTACATATTAAGCATTTTTTATGTGTAAACAATAACAAGGTAAACAATAAAGGATTGAACAGCGCTGAATCAAAATTTGGCCCCAGAATTTCTAAAATGTTGTATGCCATCTGAAAGTACATTCTGTCAGCTTTGAAATGAAGGCTTAACCTCTGACATATCTTTCGTGTTCTTCGAGATATCGTCACATGAACTTTATACAACAATAAATTGATAAATACTGATTTTTTTTCGTAAATTTTACCTATATTTTACGAAAAACTTATATATTGCAATTTTTAAAACTTTTGTCTATATAAATATTTTTGATTTCTTTAATAATCTGCTCTAGGAAAACCTAGCTATGCGACACCTAAGTCCTATCAACCGATAAGTCTTACGTTCTTCCTACTTAAAACCTTGGTACGGATAGTCGATAGTATGGTTAAAAGCATGGCATCTCAAATATAAGCAGCATGCTTATGGGACAATCGGTAGAAATGGCGTTGAATGAAGTTGTCCACTATATAGGTGAATCCTTCGAAAGCAAACTGTATACACTGGCGGTATGTATTGACATCGAAGGCGCCTTCAATAACGTACACATTGATACTCTTATCGAATCCTTAGACCAGTTTTATGTTGAACGGGTGCTCCGTAACTGGATCAACTACATGTTAAGGAACATATGGATAAGCTGCGAGATGTACGATATAACCATCAGGAAAAGGATATGTTGCGGTACACCACAGGACGGCATTTTGTCCCCTTTACTCTGGGTAACCATGATAAATAGCCTCCTAAGGGTCCTAACCAAGAAAGGACTTAGACCTGTCTGCTATGCAGACGATGTCGTAATACTTCTAAAGGGATAGGATCCAAATTACTTGTGTGGAAGGTCTGAGAAGGCTCTGAACACGACGTTGAGCTGGGCTCAACGTAGAGGCCTCAATGTTAACCCGGCGAAGACCGAAATATGTCTTTTCACAAGAAAGACAAAAATTTCTGAGTATATTGAACCATGGACAAGAATATACCGGTGACAGACAGAGTTAAGTACCAATCTGCTCTAGTTGCTGAGATATCATGCGTTGAAGTTGACAGATGGACAGACATCGTTAAATCGAATCAGAAAGTGATTTTGAGTCGATTGATACATACTCAGGTAGGTGTGGACCCAGTATTTTAGTTCGTCATAAGAAATATTTTCTAAGGCGCCTTCAATAACGGACAGATGGACAGACATCGTTAAATCGAATCAGAAAGTGTAGTAAAGTAGGGTATAAATACCGTGAATATACTGAAAGCCAAATGTTTTCAAGCTTTGGGTATATATATCTCGAAGAAGAAAGAAGATATGTCAGATGTTAAGCATTTATTTTAAAGTTGACCGAATAGACTTTCAGATGGCATACATTTTATAAATAAAGTTGTCTTGGAGCTGTTATAATGTCTCAAAAAGTGCCAAAAATCGCGTATTTTCAAATTTCAAGACACAATATCTCAAATAACAGATGTGATAGAGGCTAGTATAACTAGGTCTGAGGGTTTCGACTTTTTTAAAATTTTATCGGCCTGTTTTTTTGTAGGGGGCTTGCATCTTCCTGAAATTTTTATTACAATGTCGACTATTTTGATAAGTATCAAAACATTGCAAGAATTAAAAAAATTATTAATTAATATCTATAATAAATCGTGTCCCAAAATTATACACGAGTAATTTCATTTCCATTTTACGTAATTTATATAAACATGAGCGGAATTAAAATAGTGGGCGTGGCACTTCCTACAAAAATTAAGTGTTATTATTTAATATTTTTAAATGTTTAACTGTTAAATAGAAATTTATTCAACAGTTTTGACTATAACTTCGGCAATAGTAATAAAACTGATCGGAATATATTGTGGCTGTGGCAATTTATATTAATATTACCATGAAACTCTGCATAAATCACTTAAATGTAATCGTAACAAAATTTATAAGGTTTAACCCATAGTTGCCCCTTCCCCAATATAACCCGTCTTTAGGCAAATCACTTTAATTTCAACAGATTGTTAAAATACTCCAGAATCCACTTTTTAATACACTCAGTGGTGTAGGGTATCATATGGTCGTTCATATACATACATTCTTAATTGCTATTAAATTTCAACATTTGTCTACATTGTTTTAAGTCAATAAGCTGTATCCTTCATGTATTCTTTACTCTTCCTTAAAGTATTTTAGCAGCCCACAGTGGGACAGAAAAGGAAAAATTTTAAATAAATTTGTAACTCCAAATGTAAAATTAAAAAAAAGGATTTTATTTCTTTGGATTTGAAAAAACATTAATGCTTTCATATTAATGTTTTTTCAAATCCTATCAAATCATATTTATATTTATATATACCCAGGTATTCCATGAGGTCCAGATTCAAAGCTTTAATCCGGCAATACTTCCTTTTTATAGCATACGCACAATTGGGACGAACGACGAATTTTTCGGAACGAATATTCGTCGTCAGAAATAGAACACACTTGGGTATATGAAAATGTACACAATCATTGCGTATGACGAAATTCGTCGTTCATAATGAACTATGCGATAGGTTTATTTCTATTTCTTACGCAGACGAACGACGAATTAATTGGGGAAAATTGTTTTAAAACCAATTCCGGTAGCCCGAATTTGCTGAAATTTAGTGAGTACAGCTAATGACAATACAATATTATCTTCGAATATTCGAAATTATATTCGAAAATTCTAAGTAATGTTCGAAGAATTTTTTACGCTCTTAAAATTATCTCTGGTTAAAAATAAAAGTTTCGAAAATTCGAACTTAAGTTCGAAAAATTATTAAGGCCATTAAAACCAGTTCTCGTGGCCCGAATTGTCTGCAATTTGGCAGTCTGGAGTACACTTGGTGACACTACAATGCTGTGTTGGAATATTTAAAATTAAGTTCGAAAATTCGAAGTAATGTTCGAAAAAATTTTGAAGCTGTTAAAATAATCTCAAAATTGAGGATATTCACAAAAATATAATTATAGTTCTTTTCGAGGCCAATTTCTTACATTTTCTAAATTCGAAATAATATTCGAATAAATTTTAAAGCTGTTAAAATTATCTCAAAATCGTGGAGATTCGCAAAAATATAATTTTTGTTCCTTTTTCTTACTTTTTCCAATTTCGAACAAACAAATTTTGAAAGGAATTCGCAGTACGAATAATTTGATTGTGTTCCATTAGACGAATTTACGCAACGAATTTTTGACGACTAGTTCGTCGTGCTATACGAAATTCGTCGTTCGTCCCAATTGCGCGTATACCATTACGCATATTAATTTTCATTAAAAACGAATTAAAGAATTATAAGTTATATATTTATTAGATAAATTTAAAAATTTAATAACAATCTCAAAAATTGGAATTTTGGTTAGTTTTCTTTTGGAATTGCTGGATTTTCTTGTTTTTACCTTAAACTTGTTTATCAGAAATTTATGAACGCACAGTGGTATAATCTAGGAAAAAAGCGAAATAAATCTGTAATGTTTAAACGTAGTCCGATTTTAGTGAAATTTCACATATTTTAATAATAAGTATTGTTAAGTTTAAGTATGGAATTTGGATCTCATGGGCCCACCAAAGGCACCTTAAAACTGTGTATCTGATAATTATCTCACCAAGGCTCACCAAGGGAAAAATGCGAAATAAATCTGTAACTTCCCGATTTAATTTGAGTTTCAAATTTAAATTGAATTTCAAATGTGTATAGAGGAGAGTGTTGTCAAATTTGAGTTTTGAATTTGGAACTCATGGGCCCACCAAAGGCATGGTAAGAGGTCCCCAAAGTAGGAAACCTCAGATATGCAAAAATATCGTCTGTGTGGCGGCGAAATTTTCATCCTAAAACTTTGGAAAAGTGGACTCTGATATCAGGGTATAATATTTGATAGTTAGTGTCATATTACGATGATCGAACCATAATTGTGATGACATCCTTTAGTTCACAGCTGAAATTTTGGCCTCCATGCTCTTACGAATGAGAGCATGAAGGCCGAATAATTACATCTTGAGAACTTGGTATTATATAGTTTGGGAAAAAATAGACGAATTTCTTAATTTTCCAAATGTTGACTTTTTAAACCTTAAACTTTTTATAATCAAAATAAAATTACAATTTCTAAGAACTATTTGTGTGTGCATGAATGATAAATTTTTGTGATTGTATACGTATATGGATGGTAGGAAATGTACTAAGGGGGTAGGTACAGATGTAATTTTGTGCAATGAAATAAGACATGCAGTGCAGATCAAATCAAACATCAAGTAATTGGAAGGAAAATACAATTAAATAATGAGATAAATGGGAAAACTAGACAAAATAACAAAAAAGTTTCTATACGAGTTTTTAAAGAACTTGTACTTGAACTGCTGCTGTTAAATAAATTACAAGAAACGGAACACAAAAACACAAACTTTTTCTTACTATAATAGTTAAAACCTCAAAAACACTGACATATTTTTTTTAAACTGTAGATTTTATATTTTGCTACTAATAGAATTATAGACAATGAAACAATCAAAACATTTAACTATTCTTGTTTTATTGTTTTCTTTTCTTTTATTTTTTCTAAGACAAAAAGTTAAAAACAAAACTTTTAACCTAAAAACTCAGTCCAACATCCGAGGGGGGCGGATGTAAATACATATCAATTACTTTTGAATTGTTTCCTTTTGATTTTTTTATTTATTATATTGTATGTACATAAGAGGGAAAGAGAATAGAGATTGATAACGAATAAGTACGATATAACGACAACTATAAACTAGTATTTATGAAAAATATGTATTTTCATAATTTCTTTTTTACACAGATACTTTTGGTTTAAACATTTAATTGTATTTATGTATAACTAGTTGCTACAATTACAATATATTTAAGTAGAGAGAGAGAGAGAGAGAAATCAAAATATATGTTGTATGTATAGTTTTTTATTTTATTTTTTTATTTTGTAAGGAAGGAAGAATTCTACGTACCGATCATAACTCTGGCTGGCACTGCGTTCCATTCCAGCCAGAAGGTAATAAAGGATGAAGTCACCAATATAATGCCAGGTATGAAAACGGTTGTAAAATAATACGCACGATCACGGGTAAATGTTAACTCAACTTGTAGACAACTGTAATTACCTTTAAAAGAACACATACAGAATACAGAAGAAGACACCATGTTGGCATATCATCAAAAGTTGTAAGTTAGTACATAGATTGATTTTTGCTTTTTTTTTTTAGATTTTTTAATACAGAAATAATACAATAAAGTATACACTACGCGTAACAAGGTGCAAGATCAAACAAATTTACTTCTCTCAATAACTTTTTGTTGTTTTTTCATTAAATAGGGACCCGATATTTGCTAAAATATTCTTAAACTGATGATGCCATAATTATCAGAACACCACAATGCAAAATTGGACGATACAGTCATAATAATATTAGTTTATGAGAGAAAAGCATCTACAGGTATCAGCTGTATATGTACCGATAATCTCTTTAAATTAAAGGGCAAAAGCTATTTTATATACTCAATGTCTCAATGTAGATTATGCGAAGGACCTGTTATTAGTATTATACAGCTACTATTCTCTCATGCGTCTTTTGGAAATGAATATATTATTTTCTATTAAATAGAATTTATTTCTTTAGAATTTTCCTAAAATCGTTAAAAATTGTTTAAGAATATGACATTTATAAGGACTTATTTAAGTACTTATTTGTAAGCGAACGTGATAAGTACTTTTCTCCAATGATATCGCCATGTTCAAAAAATTAGTTAAAATATCAATGTGTAAGTAGTGAAAGGTACTTCTAATAACTTTTAAACTCATTATTTTCAGCGTAAGTTTTTGCTGCTCTGTTCAGCTTATCAGCTTCCAATTTTTCAAAAAGATTTCAAAGTGAGTATTGTATTGTACAAGTACTGTTTCAACACGATGACCCTTAAGGCTATATCGTCCGAGCTGTCCCTGTGATAGAAGCAGAAATCGACATAAAAGAATTGATTTACGAATTCTACATTTTACCAAAATAGCTTACATCGACGGTGTTATTGAAAAAAAGTTTTAGGAGCTTTTCAGGTCACATTTCGATATACATTAACGAGTTATTGATCCCATTACGATCTTATCTCGAAATAAAATTTTTTGTTTTTAAAGTATTTGCTAGTTTTATATAGCTTAGAACATTTTTTCTTCCCGAACCCTTTTTAGTATAATTGTTAAAACTTTTGACTACGGAGCGAAATCAGTATACCTTGTCTTGAGATCTTCAAGAGTTTTGTTGTTGTTGTAACAGCTTAAACTATATAATTTAAATCCGTGGGTTCTGTATTAAGGTCCAAGCTAAGAAGTTGGGCTACTTTTATAGGATTAGTGCATAATTCCATAGGGCTTAGTGAGGTAGGGTGGTCTGGACAATGTTGGGTATCATGGAGACCCTAGCCGCATACTGGGACGGTCTATGCGGGATCAGTAGGCGTTCAGCCTGTTTCTCCATCCCAATCTAAGTTGTGCCAGAGCAACTTTTGTTTGCAGCGACAGGTTCTTCTCAGTCAGCATGACATTATGTTCCTTGACTGCGAGGACCTTCTTTTTCTCGTATAGGCGGTGCTCAAAGGTTATTTGCATGCAGCCCGTTCAGCAACACTCTTCACACCTGGACGAATGATGTAAACATGAATTTAGGTGTCGCAGTCAAAGTGATTCATAGTCGGTATTTGATCCAACATGAGGCGTTTAAAAAGTAGAAGTTAAACAGTAGGGGGTATTCCTTATTTAACTCTACAGGTTTTTGAACACTTGACTCTAAACTAAACGAACGACAGGCGACCACTCATATAATTCACAATCTATCTCTTGAAGATGTTGGGACTGCAGATGTGCTTGAAGAATGTATCGAAGGCCTTTGACGTTATGAGTGTCCTTTCACAAGACCTCTGCTGATTTAAGCCCAGTGTGATCTCAGTGCTTATGGCAGTTAATACAAAGGTAGTTCTGTGCATCTTACAGAATCCATGCTGGTGACGATCTGCTGTTAGATGGCTGAATAGCTTGTAAGGGGAGAGGAGGAGTGCCTCAAGAGTCTTCGCAACTAGTGATATAGGGGAAATCGGCCTGTATTGATTGACCCCTTGTCACATTCTTCCTTTATATTAGTATCGGGGTGACTCTACCCATTTTCTAGTCATTGGGATTATCAGGCTAAAAACAATGGTTTTTAACCTTTCAAAGGTTAAAATGTTATTAAAAAGTACTCGATTCAAATTTAGTTCTATAAAAGAAGTTCATGTTTTTGTGCAAGGAAAAAATCGGCAGGAGTTAGCTAATAGATGGGGAAAGAGCTATAGAAATAGATATAGCTAGTTTGGCGTTACTGACTTGTTAATAAATACCGAGAAAGTAACAGATGCCCTCCGAACGCCAGTACTGTCAAAGATTTTTAGCATAGACATGTTTAAAATCCATTTATTTTTTTGGACCTTAATTCCAGTTGTTTTTGTTGCTTGTTAGTTGTAAATTGAAAGTTATAAAAGTTATTGAGAAAATAGTTTGATCTTACAAATATATTAGGGTAGTGCATATAGTAGAAGTATATATTTTTTTAATAATTATATTATTGCATTAATTTTATCCGTGTAAAAGTTGACGTAGGACTTTAACAATAATTTTAGACACACTTTACAAAATGTTCAACATTTAAACAAATATATAGATGTTTTAGGACTAACACCCTAATTTCTATACTATATTAGAAAACTTTCTTATGGAATATATCCCTGGTGCTATATCTATTACTATTGTATACTAATCCTAGTTTTCTTTAACCTAAAACTGTTTATAACTAATTTTAGTTTTTTAAATTTTTGCTTTCTGAATTATAAACGATACGATTAATTGGGAAATAGGTTCATGCATAAAACACATAAATTATGAATTATAAAAAATTTGCAGTGATTTAAAAAGTGATGTCGAAATTAATTCCGTATATCAACTGTATTTGAATATAACAAAAAAAAATATTGTCAATTTATACTACAGAATACTTAAGGGGTAATTACGAAAAATAAAGAAATATGTCAGAGATACGATTTATAGGTTTATGGATGTAGTATTGAAAATTAAATAAAAAAAGGAATTCAACTGAAAATGTCTAGTATATAAAAGTTGAAAAAGTATTTTAATTAAATATTATGCAGTATTTAGGTAAAACATTTGTAAAAATGTTACATGGGGCTACCAGGCAGATTGTTAATGTTTCAAGTATCTGTTGGTGGATTTGTTTGACTGGTCATGGAAATTTTTGAAAAATTAAAGATGAATTTGGAAAAATGAAATAAACAACTAAGAAAAATAAATACAAAGGAATAATTAAAATAATTATATAAATTATCTGAAGATGGTGGCAGCGACGGCAAAGTAAAATCATAAAACAAGATCCAAATAAAATGAGTTCAATTTTATTTAATTGTTGTGGTGGTGACAAGAAGGAAATGGTGTTGGTTTGATTTTCTGATGTTTTGAAATGAAAATTCAGTTTTCAATTTTATAGTTGTTGTACTACAACATATTTAAAATTATGTATGTAAATTGCAGTGGTTGTTGTTTTTTTGGGGGGGGGGGGGGGAGGTTTTCCTTTGTTAAATGATTAAAGTAGTAGATGGTGTTGAATGTGAATTGTTACCTATCATGGATCTAGCCGGTACAGCATTCCATTCTAACCAGAATGTTATAAATGATGACGTCACCAATATAATGCCAGGTATAAAAACGGTGGTGAAATAGAATGCTCGATCTCTGGTAAATATTAAATCGACTCTAAGACAGCTGTAGTTCCCTTCATAATTAAAATTGGAATAATAGTAGAAAGTGATAGATAGATATGTATAATTCTTTTAAATACAAACAAACAATAAAACGCCTTTTTTTGTATTAAATTGTTTAAACTCTATAATATTATTTTGTAATTTTTTTCAGCTACCATTTTCAACCAAATTTAAAGGCCAAAAACGAAACTAAATAAACAGCAAATCTAAAACTGAAAATTGTTTAAACATATTTCTGATTTCTATAATTATAAGGAGCAAATTATTTATAGTTTATGCATATTTATGTAAGTTTGCAAAAATCATATTTAATTAATAAAATTTAGCAAATGCAAAATGTTTTCTTTTTTTAAAATCAATATTAGAAAGAAAGCCATTCTAATTTGAAAACCAACCGAAAAAGAAAATAATTTCAAAATCTCCAATTCATATTACCAAATAGTAATCCAAAGCAATGGCATGTAGCAAAAGCTAATTAAAAATTTAAATCTATTTTCCAAAATAAACAATTCAAAATTTTTCTTTCTCAATAACAAACTATTGAAAATAATCTAATTACTCATACGTATAATAAATATTTTATTTGTAATGTAATTTAAATAAATTTCTTTTTTGTTTAATAAATATTGGCTAAATTACTTGCGAATTTGTTAAGAAATTAAATTTGTTCATATCGTTTAAAATCTACATATAAATAACACAAGGAATTTAATTAAATTCAATAAGAGAGAATTTTAATTACTAGAAAATATTTTAGTATAAAACCATAATAATGATAAAGAACATTAAGTCAGACATGTGAATATAATTAAGTTAAATATACAATAGATAAATATATATATATTTGAACAAACAAATTAAAACAATAGACATTTTGTAAAAAAGAAAACTTTTCTAGGCTACAACAAAAGAATTCAACAAAAAAACAAAAGAAACGAGAAGAACCTTAAAAAAGAAAAACTAAACGTAATTAATACCAAAAACATTAAACGACAAAACTAATTTCTGCATTTGAAATGAAAGATAAACTATATTAAACAAGAGAAATTGCTTTCATTGTGGACTCACCTCTCCAGCTATTTTGATCACAGGCAGTTGTTTGATTTTTTATCAAATATGCATTTAATGTCGTCAATGAGGGACTTTTGCGTAAAGTATCCTCATCGTTTTTCCAAACGTATTTTATTTGGGCCTCTTCATACGAAACTGTAATAGAATATATTATCTAAATAAGATTTTTTCAATGTTTGACAGCTTTACTATTTATTAAGTTATTTATAAAGAAATATATTTAAAATAATTTGGACTTTACACTACATTAACAAGAATGAGTAAATGATAAGGTTAATTTGACTTATAATCATTTATATATTTAAATATAGATACAATAACGTTTAATTAATTAAATTTTCACATTGTTTAATACTCACTGCTTTCCATAGAAAATGAACATTTCGGATCATCGAATGGAAATATATGTAAACTTCCCTGACAGGATAGAATTAAGTGTCGTCTGAAAAAAAAAAACGCAAAATATCAATAAATTTAAAAAAGAATATTTTTTTAATAAAATTATTAAAAATATGTATATGTTTTTAAATTAACATATCTTGATAGGAATTACTTTTATCTCTCTGTTGATCAAAAATGTATAAAAACTCAAAAATTATAAATATAAATATGAAATTTATAAATAAAAATTTTCGAAGAAACGAAATGCTAAACCGTTTACCTTCCTATATCCTAGACAAAAACTCTTTTCGCTTAATACAAAATTCAAAAGCGTATGTGTGTTGTTATTGTTATTTTCAATATCAAAGATAGAAAATTGTATGTGGGAAATTAAATATAAAAATTAAAAAATAATATTTTAAAAAGGAATATTTTTTTTGGTAATTTTTCGCTTTTAGCTGGTACTTTTTTGAGTTTTTTATAATATTGATCCTAGAAACATGATATTAAGCTAATAGAGTCCGGAGTTAAAGATAATCTGTAAAGAGTACATTTTGATACTTTTTCGATCTTTAAAATGTAGTTTTTGAGTTATCTATTGAACCTAGAAACACAAAAATTCAAAAAGTACTTTTTGAAGAAAGAAAAAGTTCCTTTTTATAGTGTTACTAAATTTACAAAGTTCTGAAATTTTATTAAAATAATTGAGTTTGTATTTTCACTGTTTTAAAAGAATGATGGAGTATCAAAAAAGTACCTAAATACTGTTTTTATCCGTTTATTTTCTAAAAGGACCGAATTAAAAAAGTACCAGACATCTGTCCGCTTATTTTTTAAAAGGACGGCGATAAGATTTAAACTGTTTTTGTATCTTTTCTACTTAAGGAAATATTAGGTTACCGGATTTACCCGTTTTATTCCCTAAACATTCGAATTTTCAGAAATCCTTTCTTACTGCCTGTTTCACAATATCGAAACAACATTTTTATACCCTGCACCACCATCAGTGGTGATAGAGGGTATATATAAGTTTGTCGTTCCGTGTGTAACACCAAGAAATATTCATCTAAGACCCAACAAAGTATATATATTCTGGGTCCATATACTGAGTCGATTTAGCTATGTCCGTCTGTCTATCTGTCTGTGCAAAACACGCTCACGTTAAAACTAAGCAAAGGAAATCAACCAAATTCACCCAAAATATTTATTATTATCCTAAGCAGTTTGGTATTGAAAATCAGCAAAATCGGTTCACAACGTAAAAAGTTATGAGTAAAAATTTCAGACTACCTCGAACAAAATTACGGTTTTTTCATAATTCTTTTGAAGTTTTCTCAGAAACTACCAAAGATACTTCGATGAATTTTGTCACACGTTATTTTTTCAGGGCGGTGATCAATTATGTTCAAAATCTTTACAATCGATCGAATATTTCCCATAGACCCCATACAAAGGTATTGTGATAAAATTCGAGTTAAATAAATGTTTTGTGTACATACAAATTAATCTACCAATTTTTTTACGGATCGGTCCATTATTGGTCATAGCTCCCATATAAGGCCCACTTCCGAGAATCATTTAAAAGCTCATATTTCATTGTCAAATAAAGCTATCTTAATAAAATTCGACAAAAATATGTTTAGTCTAAACATGAATCACTCTACTAAATTTTTTCCGGATAGACCCATAATTGGTCATAGCTCCCATATAAAGTCCACTTCCGAAAATCACTTAAAAGTACATATTTCATTGTCAAATAAAGCTATCTTGATAAAATTGGACACAAATATGTTTTGTGTTGATGGTCCACTTACGAAAATCAGTTAAACGCATATTTTTCTTTGAATAATAAAGTTATCGGGATAAAGTACGACTTGAATATGTTTTATGAGCATAAAAATTATTCTACCACATTTTTTCCAGATTGGTCCATATATGGTAATAGCTCCTATATAAAGTCAATTTCAAAAAAATCACTTAAACGCACATATTTCATTATCCAATAAAGATATATTGATAAAATTCGACACAAATATGTTTTGTGTAAGGTCATAGCTCCATACATATAAAGTCCACTTCCGAAAATCACCTAAGCGCACATATTTCATTAATTAATAAATCTATTGTAGTAAAATTC